TGATGCAGTTGTGGTTCTAGGTTCTTCAGGCTGATTTGCAAATGCCTTTCATCGTCAATTGTTGGCATCGTTTTCAAGTTTAACTTTTCCTTCTACGGTTGAACTGAGCATTTATTCGTTCGCTCCCCCTCCCCCGCCCGTTTCAACAATGGGAACAAGATTACTAGATCGGAAACAAACCAAGCATCGAAAGTTATTTGAGGCTTTCTTGCACAGAGAATGGATGGAAATTTCCGGCGGGGGTGGATGGGTGCGTGGGTGGGGGGTAGATAAAGTTTTATCAGGCAAACCAGTACTTAGGGAAAGAGTAAGGGAAAGACTGAAGATGTGATATGTTCCAGTGGTCTACAGACACTCTGTGTTAACCGTGATCAGCGAGCAATTCATCGTAAAATACGTCGGGGTTGTAATTTTACAAGTTAGCTGCATAAATCCCACAGCACATAAACTAGCATACTTCAGGTCAATAAAAGAGTTGCCACGAAAAGCGTAAGATAAAGAAAACGCTGAATATTATTATCACGAAGCACATATCCATTTATGGTTGATTCCATAGAAATAATGTCTTATAAAAAGTGATGATCTCCATGCTTCCTTCCAGCGGCAGTGCGTGGATCTCATAGCTAACAGAAAGCCCGACAGAGGTCTACTTGAAGGGCAGTTTTGGTGGATATCTGATTCAACACTAGCTGGACAAGCGCTGCAATCGGTAGGCTTACCAATCGTTTCTAATTTCAAATGAGATCAATGATATTGAAGAAGAAAATGAAAGTGAAAAAGTGAAAAATCGGATGATGATAATGCCAATTCTATAGCAAGACACTTCTCAACTCATTTAGTATTTTCAACAAGCGTTCGGTGTGTAAGGTGGTCCGATAACTGTGATTTTTGATATATTCAGTAAACGCAGTAATACCCATCAAATTTTAATTCATTTATTTACCTCTTTGAAGATCCCCGTTCGTTTCTTCTGAGGACAATTGTGATATTTGCTATGGCTTCATAATGGATAAGATAAATGGTTTTGATCAATGATTTAGCCACATGTAGTCTCCTTTCCGTGCAATTGTCGTACATACTATAATGTCAGACTAGTCAAAGATGCAAACAACAATATCCTGACACATTGTAGATGTTTCTTGCGATATCTTAGAAAGAAAAAATATGTTCCTGGTCAGATTTTACAACTGTATGAATTCAACGCGATTTATCGTTAGAGCATGAGCTTTTTTGTTGTTGGTGCAGAAAATCCATTCATCCCCGCCCACTCGTCTCGAACAGAATAGAACTAATGAAACCAGAAATGCACGTCCGCTGATCCGGATTTGTGTACCAACGTATGTTTTTATGCATTGTCGAAATGCGCGTTTGGTAGTCACAATAAAACCGCGATCTGATCACCCAGCAAAATGTCCCGCATGACTGAAGAAGAACGAAACAACCAGATGTCTCAGGGCAACTGTTTGTGTTTCTTTTCGTTTTTTTCATCAAGGATTTTGAAATTTCCAATTTCTGCTCTGGCCCTCCTTTTATGCACATACATTTATCCTTTCTTCTCCCTTTCGCACCCGAGTCGGGCTATGTTCATCCCACGCTCAATACAAAATGAGTTTACAGAGACAAAATCTCCAATACATCAGTATAGGCGGCGGCAGTGTAGTGGGGATGGGGGCGACGTGAACTGATCGTTTTACAACGAACTGGGCCATTTTGGTTTTGCTTTTAAAGCTTAATTGTAGTTTGTAAATAACATCAACCTGTTGGACGTGGAAGGCACAAAACGGTGGAAAAATATACTTATTTTTCACATCAGTATCCTGCTAATCTCTCAAACTCCCTCGGTTATGAGGGAATCACTATTTCAATTGTATTTGAAAAAGGCAGAGAGCAGGAGGTTGGGGGTAATGGAGGCGAAACAAAACAACTGATAGTAAACATTTTGGCATAGAGATTTCATGGAAAACAAAATGAAATAAGGTATGGGTTGCCATGTGATAATTACCCCTTATTTCTTTCACTTATTGCTCATTGGTTTGGTAAACATCATGAACGGGTGTGATAGAGTTACCGGTCGCTGCTTATAAAGTGAGGATATTTATGTGTATGCCGCGCTTGTTGAGTACTGGAGGGACCTTGAATTTTAATTGTTCACTTGGTCATCAAGGAAGATTTTCTACATTGCATTCATCAGCCTAGTCGGAATGCATGGTGACATCAGGTGTGATAGTAGCCTACCGATCAATATGGAACTTTGGATTGTTGTGTACAGATTGAACTACCCATTCCTGTGTGTTTCGTAGTGCGGAATTGAACCAAAAGCGGTTTCTTGTAGTGTCATTTTGGGAGAAGAATCCGATCCCCTATAGGGTTTATCCAATTACATCTCCCCCAGCGGGTAGAATTTTCCCATTAGTTCGCTGGCTAACTGCAGCACAGCATCGATTGGATTTTGTTGCCTCACAATAGCTTCGAAAAGTGTAGATGAAAAAGAGATCACTTATTGAGATCGGAACATGTGATAATCATTTGAATCTCTGCGCATGTTTTATTTGCTGTCTTAAAAGCTTGAATATTCCCATGATAGCATTGAGAAAACGAGTCGGTGAGCGAACAGTTATTTTCTGATATTCCTAGTCATGCTCTTACATAACATATAGTGGAAAAAATTCTTACATAATCATAGCCATTGGCTCATTTTAAAGTCAATAATCGGAGGTAGCGCATGTTGGTTGTTGTTGGAGGTGGCGCATGTTACATAGGTCGTACGGTAAGGCGTTTGTCTCAACGTGTTAAGGAGCACCACCCGCGATGGTTGAGTCAGGGAAAAACCGGCTGTATCTCAAGCGCCATTGTGGGGCATCTCGTCGACACCGGCCAAAAGATAGATCCGGAGAAAGCTTTTGATGTGGCTTATCGCATCCCAATCAATCGCTCAAGGGCGGCCCGAGTTTGGATACTAGCTATGGCCGAGGTGATCGCCATTCGCTTACTAGGCCCCGACCTGTGTGCCCAAAAGCGATTGGTGCAGGCGCTCCAATTGCCTTGGCCGTGTGTGAAAACCGTCTTGGTTTTGGAACATGACGTGTCACTTGACCCAAGTGGGGAAAGGTCACATCAACTAACACGTTGAACTTTCCTACACACACACACACACACACACACACACACACACACACACACTCCCATTACTCTCTACCTCCGAATATTGACTTGAAAATGAGCCAATGGCTATGATTATGTAAGAATTTTTTCCACTATATGATATGTAAAAGCAAGATTAGGAATATCCGAAAACAATTGTTCGCTCACCGACTCGTTTCCTTATTTGCTATCCTTCCTTTACGAGAAGGTAAGAAATTCTACACTCTACGAATTAAGGGACCTGTGGCACAATCCGTGGTGTATAAGGTGTTTGGGAATAATAATTGTTTGATGCAATTTTTGTCTTTATCCCTGGAGACAAGCCCATTTAGGTAGTCAGAATATAGTTTAGGCCAACGGGTTTTCTATCACTACATTCTCAATCGGGTACAATCACATTGCTATGAAACGGAAAGGGTCTAACAGGGTCCATGATAGACGAAGCACGAAAGATGCACGCATGCACAGACCGATGATATCAATTGATTGATTTCTGTTTAAGAAATATTAAAACTGGTTTGCGTATATGTATCAAGATTTACAAATTGAATGTGAATACACCGTTTAGCGCGCAGAACCGACTCAGATCGTTCAGTCAGTATCGTCCATCCCAGATGAATTCGGGTTTTACATCAAATGTTGAAACTCAGGTGAGGGATCTTGACCTTGGATTTCAATTGTTCACTCGACCAGCAAGAATGTCTTCGGCTATCAAGTGACGTCGGGTGTGACGGTAACTTCCTAACCGGTCCATCGCTACAAGTACTAGAAAAAAACTGATCTCTCTGTAATGTATAAACGATAAGATTTTTGTTTGTCTGAACCGAGTGACCGTATATACGGTTCAATAGTCGAGTTGGTTTTGCCCAGACAACACACACTGACTACAGTTTGCTAAAATCTGGAAAAAATCGAGATTCTTTGGGAAGAAATGTTTATTTATTTGCTAAGGAATTATTCACAATATTGCTAATTGGGTCCCAATGCAGTGGCTAAAATCAACTTTCTCAGGTCACAATTGCGGTCATCCTTTGTTAACACATGCTGGCTGCTTGCCTCAGTCTGTGCGATTGGTCCCACAAGATGAGGCACAGTTTTCCTAACAATATTCCCTCTTTATTTCTCTCTGTATTTCTGGCCTCCACTTCACAGTACTCAGAAACATCTCGCTTATTATTTCAGCTTATCGACCCAACTAACATTTGATTCAGGCGGTCTGAACGATTTGGTACTATCTTTCGATTACTAAGAAGATACCGTGCGGTCGTAAGGCCAATACTGAGGTCATTGCTGAATAGCAGCAATAAACAGGTATACCACATAATAATCAAAATGGAATCAAACGCGAACGGTCAGAAACTCACCCTGTTTTGGGGCTGCTGAACCAATTCTTCATTTATTGTTTGTCAAGGTCATTACATGCATATAGGGAGAAATTCTTTTACTCAACCACCGTACTAGTCCGGCGCATATGCGACTGACCTTGAACAGGCAAAGACATGACCCGTTATTTCGCTTGTGTAACTTTCAAAAGTGGTTTCCGCAACTCAAATTCCCGTATAATTTGTCTACCATTATTAAATGTCAATTGCTCCCCGTGTCTCTTGGAGTCAGTTGGGCATCGATGATTTGAAGGCTACACTGAACTATGCACACTACAAGGAAATACTTGTCGGGATATTGTCCTCTCACCAAACAAAAATGAATAATCTACAAAAAATACCGTTTTCTTTCCCAAAGCAATGAAATTGTCTCGAACTGGATGATTGATTGCATAAGGGTGTGAACAGGGTTGGTCGAACAGCACCGAAGTCACGTGCCTATTTTGAAATTATCTACACATATTGGGAATAAAATATTCAGGTTGAAGACGAGATCACTTGTTCAACGACAAAGTAAAACTGACCATGACACGCAAATATGGTCAGCCTTAGTGGGAATAGTAGAACCGTGAGGACATCAATACATATGTCACGAGGCGAATGATATGAGTATCATTTGATCTTGCATTATTATATGTCTCACCAAATCGCTCGCTTTGAAGTTTTGTCAGAAAGGTTGGAGAAAAGCCAATATGATGGTACTGGTTACAAAAAAGCCGTTAGTAAATGTTGGGTATCGTACAGTAGGCGAACTCTATTTTCCGGAAAAATATTCCTGAGATATTCGGTAGTAGCCTCCGCTTTTGCGTGTCACATTGTTAAAAATGCCACCGGTTGATACTGCTCTTTATTGATATCTCTAACTACGACCGAAACAGCATTATGCTTATTTAGATTCCAATAGAAGACATGTTTTATGAATAAACTGAATTTAAAATTGGTGGATCCGATCACTTTTAAGTATAATTGATCCGATCCTGAAAAAAAACAGCAGAACTAACCCCCGAAGGAAATATTCCTCATCATCATCCGAGTTATCTTCATCATCATCATCATCATCATCATCATCATCATCATCATCATCATCATCACCATCATCCTCACAATCCAAGTCAGTATCCGCATCATCACCACAGTCGAAAACCTTTAAACGTGGTAAAACTAACCACGAAGGTATCCCAAATCTAAACAAAACAATCTGAATTTACCCCTAAATTCACAGTGGAATTACCAAATATCTAATCGTTCCATGCTTGATTGGTTTTTGTTTGTGCAGCCACACTCCTTGTCATATATATGCTCTAGTTCTTCGGTTTCCAATCGGTGCACACTTGTCTCCTGTCATACAAAAGACCTGTGGGACAAACAACAAGCGACCCGGCAGACGATGGGGTTTGACATGACTG